GTGGGACAGAACCATTTACAGATAAATTATGTAAGACAGATGCATTATGCTCCATTCTCACTCATTATTCTTCTATGTGCTCTGTGTTGAGGCGGGATGAGCAAAGACTGGTTTTTGGAATGGTAATGAAACTGCTTTGTTTGACAATAAGCAATAAGTGCTGTTCACTATTTCTATTTGGTATGGAGGGAAAAGTGAGCTGAGCTTTGATTATTACAGATAAACCATTTACTGTAGTACATAAAGAGAAGCATCTATGACATAGCTTTTTCTAAAAACGTGTTTAGAGTGGAACAAAATGTATAAGTGAATTGTTTAGGGCCTAAATCATCAGTAAAAACACTCAACATCCTATTAAGACATCACCACAAATCAGATTATAGGTTCAGACTATAAAATTTTAAAAAGTCAGTGTCAAATTAGATAAAACTTTGCCTTGAATTTTTGTACAATAGCAGCCTACAAAACTACATATATATGGAAATGGTTTTAGTATTGGTTTTCAGAAAGTTTCAAAAGAAATGATTTGATTTTTTATATAAGAATTTTCATGGGGAGTTGTGAAATCAGAGATAACAGCATTGAACTCAAATGGAGAAGCAGGAGGTGAAAATGACACTACAAATTAAAGGAAACAGATCTTTACTATCCACGGTGAGTGACAAATATCATAAATGGTGCTAAGTAAATTAGGTGTTCGATATTTTTAGAAGAGTAAATAATCTTCTGTATTACACACAACAATTTTAACACGTTTTTTTTATATTTATACAGTCATGAATATTTCAAGCTAATAAATCTTTTTTCATAAACTTCAACCACAGGGCATGGAAAGTGATGTGTTAAACAGGTTGTAAATCCTTCTGTATTAAACAATGCTTAAGAAATGCATTAGGGCTAGCCTGTGATATTTAGCCACAGCCCAGAATAGGGATTGGTATAGAACTTTCTCATCCCAAAGGAGTTGTGCATTTGAGGCATGAATGACTCAAATGTTCCCTAGTGAGCAGATGAACTCGTAGAATGATCTGGAAGCTTACACTGCTGGTCTCCAGTGCTCATCATGCTTTTGCAGGAAAGTTGCCCCATGCCTTCTTTAAAACATCTGTGGATACCTCAGTCTGTCTCTTGCAAACATAAAATCTAAGAAGAGGAGTCCTCAGATTAATGGTTTCTAATGTTCAAATTCCTTGTCTTGATTGGCATCCAGTGTCCATTAATTATTTATGTGCAAGAGTGTGCTGAGGTGCTAGGTTTAGAAGCCAAATGAGCTACAGTGGAAATCTATCAACTTCCAGCTACCCCCTGAAACTTCTTCACAAAGTTGACCATTCTTAAGAATCTTTGTCATCTGGTATAGCATGCATGTGATTGCCATAACTCAATTAGGATATATTTGGATTCCATGTTCTTTCTATCTTTCTCCCAACTATGATACCTCAGACACGAAAGTTACATTTCTGCTTATTTAATTTTAATCCAACTTCTCTAGCCCTTTTCTGTGTTCTCTGTAACCTATAGTCATGTTCTTCTTTTGTTTTTCCCTAAATCAGAATGCCACCAATTTATACATTAGCAATTTCCATACCTTTGACATTAAGTAAGATTTGCGTCAGAAGCAGTTAAATTCTTTATAGTCTAAGCATAATCCCAGGCAGGGGTGGGGAACCTTTTTTGGGTTGGGGCTGCTGACCCACAGAAAAATCAGTTGGGCCCAGGCTAGTAGATTTTGTGTTCTCCAGCCCTATGGGGGGGAACAGCGAGGGGACTGGAGTGCCAACACAGGCTTCCCAATGTTGAGGGAGCGCCCCGAGTCTCAGGAGCCAAATGCAAGCACACTTTAGGTTCCCCACTCCAATCTAAGGTGTTTCCATCTTTCTTGTCTACAATTACTAATGAATGAAATTCATTCTATAGGCTCTTCTACTTTCTTGGTTATCTCTAGTGCCAATAATCTGTCTAGTTCCTCTTTGATTTTTTTTTCCTCCAGGGCAGGAGGAATATTCTTAGGGGAATATATGATAGGAAAATAAGGCTCTGTTAATTCAATCTGAAAACCTATTGGCAATTTTCCTTAGCTCTTAAAGACATCTTGAAACTGATCCTCAATACCTGAATCCCTTTATTCCTCTAATGAGTATAGTCTCTGTCCTAACACTAGAGCTTGACATGTTTTCAAGCCCAGGATAGGCACTTTTTTTTTCTTTGCACATATGTTTTATTATTTCCATCTTATTTTTTTAACCTCATCTCTATGTCATATTTGCCCAGAGTAGGAAGGTCTCCAATGTAAGCCCTTAACTGTACTCGTCTATTGTCAATATCCCCCATTTTTCTCTATGTCCTTTGCTTAAGCATTTGCTTAAGCAAATGTCTAGTTTAAAATTCACAGAAGTTCCATTCATTCCCAAGGTAATAGTCCAAACGCTCGGTGAAGTTACTTCATTCAAAGCTCCCCAAAAAAACTCTTGCATTGCTAGCACTGTTCTCCTCTTGGTACACAGGATGCTTACATTGTTTCTTTCTTTTTCTCCTTTTGTTCCTGCTTGCACTCTATTGCAAAATGATTGACTTCGTTGCACTGGTTGCAAAATATTGTCCAAAGGCAGGAAATTGCTCATGTCTCTATTTGCACCACACTTTGGGCACTTCTTTATGTTGTCCTCAACACATCCATTTCTTGCAAACTCACTTTTTGCAAGCTTGTTGTACTGCCTTTCTCCTTTCTCTTTTCATTGAGGGTTTGTGATTCTGTCCATCAAAGCCATATCTTGTTTTCCCTCCGAAACTGATAAATTGTTCTTGTTCACCTTGGCATATTCTGACTGCTTTGCCCAGGTTCAAATCTGGATCTTCCAACTGTCTTTTTCCAATCTTTAAATCTCAAGTACCCATTGCTATTTGACCTCTGATTATTGAACCTGCAAGCTGTCCCTAACTATGTTTGGCTCAATAGTTTGAAATGTAATTATAATCTTTTCAGACGGTTCTCCTCACTGAGTTTTCGTGTGAAATGTATATCTTTCAAAAATGTAATTTGTCTTGGTGGCACAGTAGTCTTCCAACTTCTGCATAACTGTCTTACAGCAGGTTTGCTCTGCCTGACTTAATTATAACAAAATACAGAACTATGTAGCACTTTAAAGACTAACAAGATGGTTTATTAGGTGATGAGCTTTCATGGGCCCGACCCACTTCCTCAGATCAATATATGGAAGAAAATTGGCACAACCATATATACCAAAGTGATACAATCAAAAAAATGAATGCGTGTGAAATTGACAAATCAAATTTGAGAACAAAGTGGGGGTGAGGGCAGAAGGTTAGTGTCTGTGAGGTAATGACATTAGGGGTGATAATTGGGGAAGCTATCTTTGTAATGGGTAAGATAATTAGCATCTTTGTTAAGGCCCATTCGTAAAGTGTCAAATGCTTAAATTTGGGTGCACATTGGAAAAGAAACAAATCATGAATGTTTATCCTATGAGTGAAGATGAGGGTGCGAGGGTATAGCTTGAAGGCAAAGAAGACACCTGGCAAGAAAGTAAGCAGACAGCATTCATGAAAATGAGATCTCAACCAACCTTGATTGAAAATACAAAAGAGAACTTTGGGTGAGATAAACATTTTTAGACAAGAGTTAATTTGCTTGAGTTTTGTCTCCATGAAGCATATTATGTGTTTGTTTTATATGCAGTTATTGTTTCCAATATCCTCACTATCTCTTAAATGTCAAGACTTTAATAGTAAACGTACTCTTGTTTTCACTATAAACAGATCTCAGAGCTATGGTATTATGCAAAGAGAGCTGAATCTTACAAGCTCTTGTGCAGAGTTCATACAGGAACTGCAGGCCTGGCATTTCTGTAACTGTTGAATGGATAGGAGGTCAGACACCATAGGGAATGCTTGGAGAAGATTTGTGGTATGTTAGGTGCCATTCTGTAATCTGTACAGAGGAACAAAGGCTGCAGAGGCCTGGAAGGCAATGCTTGGTTTGCCAGAGGCTGGTGGTTTCAGGGAGCTGAGCTACAGAGAAGAGACAAGATTGCTACACAGGAAGGTCAAGGCCTCACAGCTATGGGTACCCCTGGGGAGCATCACAGGAATTACTGAAAAGATATCCCATCTGTAAGTCATGGGAACAAGCCATGGGGACTAATACTTTGGTACAGACAAAAAATACCTCATGATGTTGTCAGTGACAAAGCAAAAGAAAAACAGAGAGAAGGAAGAAAATGAAATTCCTTGCCATTTTGGTAAAGTTAAGAAAGTTTCACTACATGTCTTAGCTATTTCTAATTCCTGGGGATGTAATTTTCTGTTGAATGGGGGGGGGGGGGGGGCACACACACACACTCACACATTTTAGTTTGTCTCCAAAACTTTTCATATGTGCTCTCTAGCCAGTGCTGCGGTGTCTCCCCCAGGGCCACTGTGGAACTGGACAAGTCAGGTCTCACCTGCCAGACAAAAAGCAGCAGCAGCAGCCTGAGCCAGGGCTGCCCCAGGTTGGCCACTGGTGAGACTCAGCCCTCGCACAGCTCCTGGGCACCTGAATGACTGCAGAAGTGGGTTGGTCACATCAGGTTGCAACACCCCTCAGTGAAATTTGGTCTGGCCATCCCATTATAATGATCAAGGGGGGTGGCTGGACCAAATTTGAGTGATGCCAGAACCCTGCAGATCTGGTTGCTGTGTCTCACAAATATATTTGGCACACCACATAACACCACTCAAATTTTGCCCAGACACCCATCTGTCAGGCAGATAAAGAGCTCTACTAGGGGGCCTATTTAGAAAATGGAAGTTATGGGTGTTCCCCTCCCCCCATCACCACTCCAGGCTTGTATCCACAATCTC